AAGTCAATTGGAGACACAGTAGTGGTGCAAGTAGGGGTGGACAAATAATTCGTAAATTCCCAATTTTGATCCGATCCGTACGGATTGGATTAGATTGTTATACCAACGGGTTGATGACGGATTCAATAATATTGAATCCGTATCTCACGGATTGGATTGTTAAACTCCGATCCAATCCGTGAGATTTATGTATATATTCAAATAATGTATTAGTTAATTTAATTAATTAATGATCATTTAATGAACTCTAAGAATGTATTAGTTAATGATTATTTAAATGTATGAATTAATGTAAATAAATTGACATTTTATCTCTTGAGTTATGGTTAAAAAATAAAAAATATTGAACTATTTTAGGAAAAACACAAATATGTGGATCCAACCTGACCCGATCCATAATTCCACAAATCTAATATGATCCAGTCCGTTATCCCAAGGAACGGTGATGGATTCAAAAAAAAATTTAATTCATTGGGAACGAATCAACTTAAGTTTGATATCCTATCCGATTCGTGACCACCCTTAAGTGCAACACAGAGGGATCACTAAATCATCACAATACAATAAAATCGATTTCATTGTTTGGCAAACTAAAATGCACTCAGCAAAAAAAGCATCAGTGATCCAGTACAGAACAAAATGGATCTGTTCAGTTTTCCATGGGACACTGTTGTTGGTGTATTTTTGTTGAAGATATGGGGAACAAAAGTACTAGTGGTACTGTGTCGACCGTGAATAAAAGCTAGAGTGTTCATTCTGAAATTCACGGGACTCAACATTGAAATCAACATCATTCAAATTTTGAAAATTTATTACCCTCTCTCAATGAGTAAAATACTAAAATAGCCCTTACCGAATAATAGGTCTATTTGCTTCTTCTAGTGGCCCAATAAATCACACAACAGTCCAATAACACACAATAATAAAGTGAGCAAGAAAAAAAAAATACACCAGAATTTGTACGTGAAAAAACTGAGCAAGAAGAAAAAACGACAAGGCTTTAATCAAGAGCAAAGCAATCCACAATGTCAAAGAAAAAGTTGCATGAACTTTTACAGAGACTTGTGCCCATGGACTCGACGAACTCACAAATGAGCTGCTGAAAGTCGAACTAGACGTATCAAATGAAGAAAGCTCTCAATCTCATGAAAACCGAGGGCTTTGAAGCATCTAGATGTATTCCCTCGATTCTACAAATTTTCACTCTAAAATAACCCAAAAGACTAGTTCTTATAGTTCTCAAAGTAGAGTCTGGCATGCAATCAAATCCTCGAGGAATTTGGATTACTCGTAAGTTGAACTAGTGCAAGTGGTTGCTGGACAAAGTTGGACCATTGCAAGAGAAAGTTAGACCGGTACAAGTAAAAGTTCCATCAGTGAAACTTCATTGTGATATACAATCTAGTAGCTAGTTGGACCAGTGCATGAAAAACATGGACCGGTTTAACTATGCACTGTTTCCAGATTTATTTTTAAGTCGAACATAACCTTTTAAATCATCAACTAAATCTAAAGACACATTGACAATTACCAATTAAATACCATACTTGGGTCAAAGAAAGTCCAGACTATCTCTACATCATTACTAACCTAACTCTTTAAGGTATCCAAGGTCTCTCTTACCGGCCTTTCACTGACATGATTGAGCATCACGGAGCATTTAAAAAAAAATTGTTCAGATGTAGCTTCCATTTCCATATCTGAGTCTTGAATTACTACCCTTGGCAAGTGTTTGCATAACATTAACGTAACTCATTTTGTTCACACAAGTAAATCAGCCTTCTGTAAGGAATATGCTAACAATGCAAGAATTATCAAACAGACACACACACGTGTACTGTACTAAAAAAACATAATCATCTTGAGAGATGAGTTCCGAGACGTAAAAAGTGAAGGGAACAACTGAAGAAACATGATTTAAGGTAAGAGAAAACAGACTTGACAGCTCATGATTTAATAGAAAACATGGTTGTAAGTAGAATCATGAAAAAGGAACCCTATTACTGACCCCGAGTTCATTAAGACAAAGACCCAACGCAAGGACTTGTTTTTAGTTGAATAAGCTAGAGACTAGAGTCCTTCAATTTCTACAAGTAATAATACGGACTATATTTAACACATCCAAGTAATATGGACCATCTTCAAAAGGCAGGTAACACTGTAATAGATATCAAACAGAATAATGACAAATCTGGTTTTTGATGTGATGCCTTACCCAACAGCTGAATGTTGATTAAACTGACAAAGCCATTTATTAAGAGTATTAGATTAAGGGAGTTGGAAGTGAATAAATGGAACAAAAGGAAAATAAGGAGGAAATAAAGGAAAACGAGGGGTTTGTGACCTCCTGAACAGTTCTTTTACCATCCCTTTCATAATTGGGAGAGAATAGAAGGAAATGAAAAGAGAGTAAGCGATTACCCATTTTGTCTCTATTTTTCTTATTATAAGTGAATTTGCCTTCTTTAGCCAAATAATAAAACAGCCCTTTATTTTTTCTTTCTTTTGTCTTTTCCGAACAAAGTGAAGAGGTTAATATTATATTACTATTCCTTATTTTCTTTTCCTTTTCTTAGTTATTCAAACATGTAAAATACTTAACGCTATCCTCTCTTTTATTTTGTTCTCTCTCTTAAACAATGTTATCTTTTCCGTTCTATAATTTTTGAGGTCAGTATCACTTTTTGCCTCTCAAGAACACCACATAACCATTTTTACGTGTGTGAGAATTTGCAAAAATAAACTCGAAGGCATAAGGTATCCAAGGTCTCTCTTACCGTCCTTTCACTGACATGATTGAGCATCACGGAGCATTTAAAATATATATATATATATATATATATATTCTCAGATGTAGCTTCCATTTCCATATCTGAGTGTTGAATTACTACCCTTGGCAAGTGTTTGGCATAACATTTACGTAACTCATTTTGTTCACACAAGTAAAACATCCTTCTGAAAGGAGTATGCTAACAATGCAAGAATTATCAGACAGACACACACACACGTAATAAAAAAAACATAATCATTTTGAGAGATTAGATCCAAGACGTAAATAGTAAAGCGAACAACTGAAGAAACATGATTTAAAGTAGAGAAAACAGACTTGACAGCAAGTAGAATCATGAAAAAGGAACCCTATTACTGACCCCGAGTTCATTAAGACAAGGACCCAACGCAAGGACTTGTTTTTAGTTGAATAAGCTAGACTGCTAGAGTCCTGCAATTTCTACAAGTAATAATATGGACTATGTTTAACACATCCAAGTAATATGGACCATCTTCAACACATCACATGCAGTAAAGTCAACACCATTCCAAATTCTTTAAAAGGAGAATAAAGGCATATACATGCAATCTGTAGCTTCACCAAAAGGCAGGTAACACTGTAATAGATATGAAACAGAATTATGACAAATCTGGTCTTTGATGTGATGCCTTACCCAACAACCTAATGTTGATTAAACTGACAAAGCTATTTATTAAGAGTAATAGATTAAGGGAGTTGGAAGGGAATAAATGGAACGAAAGGAAAATGAGTAGGGAAAGAAAGGGAAACGAGGGGTTTGTAACCTCCTGAACAGTTCTTTTACCATCTCTTTCATAATTGGGAGAGAATAGAAGGAAATGGAAAGAGAGTGAGCAATTACCCATTTTGTCTCTATTTTTTTTTATTATAAAATTTGCCTTCTTTCCCCAAATAATAAAACACCCCTTCATTTTTTCTTTCTTTTGTCTTTTCCAAACACAATGAAGAGGTTACTATTATATTACTATTCCTTATTTTCTTTTCCTTTTCTTAGTTATTCAAACATGTAAAATACTTTACGCTATCCTTTCCTTTCTTTTGTTCTCGCTCTTAAACAATGCTATCTTCTCCTTTCTATAATTTTTGAGGCCAGTATCACTTTTTGCCTTCTCAAGAACACCACATAACCATTTTTATGTGTGAGAATTTGCAAAAATGAACTCGAAGGCTTAAGCTAAAGCTGGAACCTATGCGGGTAATTGAACCTAAAAAATATTGAGGGCGAACCATCCAACAGGGAAGCTTGGGCTATTGATTCCCAAGAAGGGGTTGGTTCCAAATTCCAATTAAGGTTGATCAGGTTGGGCTGAGTCAAGGCCCAAGACTGTGTGACAGAAGCTGTGCCTGTCACACACATTGTTCATGCTAAAACTTGATCCAACCTTTAGGATTGGGTTTGGGTTAGCTTAAAACTCGACCCAACTACTCTCAACTACAAACACACAGCAATCTCTAGCCCTCTAAAGTGATGTTTGATTCTGGGCATCCCTTGAAATGATATAATTTTATGGTGGTTTTTTTTTTTTTTTTTTGGTTAAAGATATAATTTTATGGCGTATTGCAGCACAAGGCCATTTTATTTATTTATTTATCTTTTTGTTTCCTTGGAATATTAGGCATTAAAAAAAAATAAAATTCCAGTAAATATAAAAAATCGAAAATTGATGTCTTGCATTCAATCTTACAAAGAAAAATTGAACAAACAATAATAAATAACGGTTCGGCCAAGTGGTCTAAAATGCTAGATTTAGGCTTTCGTCTGAAAGGGGTCATAATTGAATCCTTAGGCTCCATTTCAACATCTAAGAAATCCATCATGCCTCAAATCTAAAATCACCTTGCACTTCTAAATCTTTTATTTGAGTTCAAATCCCTTAAAAACAAATCCATTCATTTATCCAAATGAACCATAATATCTGTTAGTTTTCACTCCAAATAACGGTATATCACATTCCCCAGTAATTTATTTTCCCACTCAAACAAAACCTTGAAACCTTTTTCCATGCAGCCAAGCAACGTTATTAGAGCTTTTGACAGAGAAATCCATGAAATTGTCCCCGGAACAATAGGGATAGATATAAAGGAAGAGTATATCATACAAGCTAACTCGTAGAGCAAAAGTAGATTATGTTATAACAAATCTCCAGTAAGAACTATATTAATTCTAGATGATAAATTGTTTCATCAGATGTAAAATGGCGAAGATCCACGAGCATATATAAACGATTTGCCATCAATTTTTTTTTGTAGAATTTTCTATAGTAATATATGGAAAAGCTGAAGCATTCTTGACATTACATTTTGTCTCGTGTCTACATGAAGAAGAAGATTTCAAGAAAACTTTAGATAGTATGATCCTGAAGATTATATAATGATCTATGAAACAGTGTTTTTTCTATAATAATATAATTAACGTATGTCACGGAAAAAGCTGCACATAACCAGTTATTATAGCAATTCCTAATATGATAAGAGGGGGTAAAATTACAAATGCTCCTATGGTGGCATAGAAAACTGTATCATTCCTCTGAGACACTTCGTTCAGGTAAGCCTGCCTTCTTATGTTTCTCTTCTGTGAGATAGTTAAGAACTTAGGACTGACCTTCTTTAAATTTTTACCCAACGGAATATCGAAATTGTCATCCCTGTTACCAACCAATTGTGCAAGCTGATCACGGATTGTTAATTTTCCTGAGCCACCATCGCTTTTATAACCTGGTGATGAAATTTGTGAATCTTAGCTCTATTTTCTAAAAGTACTTTGTAAAATGGGTTGACATTTTTCTTGTAATCTAAAATTTTAACTTAATTTTTTCTAACGAAAAGACGGAATTAACTCACGTACCATCATCAAATGAGCTCCCAGAAGTGAGTTGCTCCAAGAGATCCAGCTGTGAACGAGTAGAAGACAGAGACCCTTCAAACAAAAAACAAAATGCTAAGAAAAATTATATCACAACTCAAAAATATGTGTAATCAACGTCAACATATACACACACAAATGCTGCTTTATGAATGTAACCATTTGATAGTCTTACAAAACCCAGTTCAAAGTCATGAATTATAGAACAATGAACAGTATATTGTTGCACCGATTCTTTCCGCACATCTTTTCTTTGAACAATTGGATATGCCATCTGTAAACAACTGAATAGACCAGTTCAATTTTATGTTGCCAACCTAGTCAAAAAATGTCATTATTACTTTAAAATGAGAAACTGACATGCTACTACGTGTTGGCCTCTCCAAGATTCAAGAATTTGCAAGGATTGAGTTCAATTCATTTGAAAGTTCAACAAACAATTGAATAGTTGAACAAACTACCAAAAATTGTCGCATTTCTTATAAATAATTATAATTTCATAGACTAATACGTGGATTTGAAAGAAAATTTCTAATGACTTGAAGTCAAAATCAATTAATCTACAAACAGAAGTGGTCACGTGACACAAGTTACGAAATTAAAGTTATGAATTCCTCATAAAATTTAAAATGAAAAACTAACTGATGATGCAGTGTTCAAGTCTGTGCAAGCAAGTAGCACTACTGGCACTGAATCTGAAATAAAATTTTGACACATTATAAGTTGCTATAAATTTCGTAGTCAATTCAAAAATTGTAATGTTGTAGGCAACGTCTGTTTTTTTTTTTTTTTTTTCCCTGGGTAAGTGACCAGAATTATATTACAAAAAAACATGTACATAATGAAGAAAGGCATACTGTCCCTAGAACATAGAACAAGGGCTAAAACCAAAGGCCGAACAAATGAGAGAAACAACAAAAAAAGAAAAGTAATTTCTTTATAATGTTTTTGAATGTTGTTTCACATATAAAGATTACAAGACTCCCATTATTAAATCCATGACATGGAAAATGCCATCATGAGTCCACCAAAGCAGGGGTTCACCAATGTTCTTCACTCTCTTTCTACAAATTTTGTGCCCATGAACTGTTTAGTTTAAGTCCTGAAAGAGAATCCATTCACATATAGTAAAGAATTATTGGCTTATATTTGGAAACAGGCATGTACTTATTATAGAATTTTGTGCTCCTGCCATTGCGGGGTCTAGGAGGGTCAAAATTACAGAGTCTTACAATCATTCAACCAAACTACCAGCAAAAAGATTGCATTCAACCAATTAGATAGTAAACCCAATTTCCAATATAAAGAGCAGTGAATTCATAGAACAAACTAGCTAGCTTTAAGCTTCAGTAGTTGACTAATAAAGACCAAAATATAAAAGCTTCAGCATACATATGAATATTATATAAATTTGATGCATCTGGGTCATGTTAGAGAATCAAAATACATATATATATATATATGTGTGTGTGTGTGTGTAAAGATTATATAGAATGATGGCATACCAGGGTAAGAAGGAGGGTCCTCCTCAGTGACTCCACTTTCTGTTCCTTCAGATAGAGCAGCAGTTGTGAAAGAAGATGAAGAGTGGTAGAGTTTGAAGAGATGTTTGTGTTTTGGAATCAGAAATGGGAGCTTCTGGTGAACAGAAAGAGAACTCAAATTCAAGGCCATTTATTCCCTTATAGTTGAAGCTGTTCTCTTTGTCTTTCTATTCATTGTCTCTGAGTCTGAGGCTGTAATTCAATTTATGTTAATATACTGTATCTTATTTATATGGCCATCTCAATTCAAATTTGGGGGAAAAACATCTCCTCCACATAAATTTCATGTGGGCACGGCTGTAATGACCAAGTAGAGTAATGACCAAGTAGAGCCAAGAGCAATGAGTCTGACCTCGTGTCACTCACTCACTTGGGTAGATCTTATTGTAGGAAAGTCCAAGAAAATATGAAATCTAAGTGGACACTCGAAAAACCTGTGCGCTTTCGAGATGGTTCTATATTTAAACTACATTTATTTGATTTTTTAATTATTTTAAAAAATTATCTCAATTTATTAGTAAAATTGTTGTCATGGGAGACTTCAGGACTTTCACGAGTTATTCAACTAGTTTTTGGGATCACAATTTTCTTTACAATTTTCACAGTTTTCGTTTAGATGAACTTTTTTAAATCAACAATGCAGCAATAATAATTTTAAATTAACAAGGCAATAATTTCATAAAAGTGTTAAATGTTCATTGCATGAGAATGGTATCGTTGTTGGATCTTTAATGCAACATTTCACCTTTTGATGTAATAATATATTGCAATATCTATATTTATATTTATCTATACTGCATATAAAAATGTTAAGCTTTTTTATTATCTTTTTATACATTTTTCACTATTCTTATCAATTTTAATTTTATTTTTTATTTAATCATTAATATGTGTAAATGAAACAATAATATCTTATTATGTATTTAATTTTCTGAATGGTAAAACGTGCGCACACTTCTGCCCACGCTCAAGCTCGAACCTCTCTTCTCCTCTTCAAGGATGGATTGATTATATCATTGGGTTGAAGGAGACATACCAATTATCATGTTACATCTCATTTGGATTTTAAGAGCGTGGCATTTCCAAAAACATGAATTTGAATTACTACGTATTATTATTATTATTTTTTTTTTATCTCTTCTTCATATGAAATAGATCAATATACCCTTGCCAACCAAGCTTTTTTGTCCTTTAGTGTATCAGAATTTACAACTCACAATGAGAAGGTTGTAACAGCATTCTTATCCAAACTTAGTCTCTAAGAAATGCAATTATAGTGCATACACTCTCACTCTAGGACCACATCAACGTGTCACACACCTAAACCTCAAGTAAAAAGACCAAAATGCCCTTGTAACAACCACTTGTTAATCTTAGCACAATACAGATCCTTAGACAGTATAATTAACAATGGATGCTAAATCACATCTGTTCAATGTAATGCAACTATCTAAACATATGTATAAACATATAATACAACTGTAAAAAGACCATAATGCCCCCAAAAAAGCATGTACCTAATTTTCATATGCAGAAAAATAACCTGAATAGGCTGAATGGCTGCAATGTACTATCTTAAACCATTGTGTAATTGTATCACAAGATGGTAAAAGACAATACAACCCACGTGTGATGATTTAAGCCACTATGCACCACAATGTTGATGGTAAAAGCCTTTGAAAGCTCTGTTACACCAGTTTTTTTACATTAAACAGGAAAACACCATTTGGTACTCATTAGGACCAACAATCTCCCCCTTTTGCCTTTAATGACAAAAACCCCAAAATGAAATAAGGACTGAGTAGAGAAGTCTCAGCAACACAAGTATATAAAAACCTCAGTTACAGATAATTAAAGACAAACACCAAAACCTTATAAAAGGATAAAAAAAAAAATATCCTTATTTCAGTCATTTTCTCCTCATTTTTGACATTGGAGGTCAAAAGGTGATAAGGATTAACAATGATAAACTCAATAAGGTAGCGGAACAACCCTGAGAATGTTTCTAAAGGCTGTAACTCTCTGAGGAAAAAGAGGTTTGGCCATAATATCTGCAAGTTGATCTTCAGTGGGCAAATATGTGATGTTAATAAGACCTTTTTGAACTTTATCTCTGAGAAAATAATATCTAATGTCAATATGTTTTCTTTTCCAATGAAGAGTTGGATTCTTATTGATAGCCTAGGCATTTTGATTATCATAGAACAGCTTGGGAGGACCTGAGAATTGAAGACAAAGGCCTGTAAGTGTTGTCTTCATCCAAAGAAGTTAAGAACTAGCTTGAGAAGCAGCAATATACTCAGCTTCTAAGGTTAAAAGGGACATTGTATCTTGTTTTTTGCTTAACCAAGCCACTGTATTGGAGCCAATGAGATAACAACAGCCTGAAGTGTGATTTAACCCAGTGTGTCTTGTGATGACCCGAAATGGATCCAAAAAAAATACGGAAGCAAAACATAAACAAGTCCTTAGAGATGTACGTCATTCCTAAGACACAAGAATGACCCTTCGAGGAGTTTTGAGGCTCAACGGAAGCAAAACGAAGACAATGGTATCAAAACCCTACCAAAAGAAGGATCAATGGTAAAATGACCATTTTACCCTAAGAGGAAGGAATTTGACTTCCAACAAGTCCAATGAGATCAAAAACATTCAAAAACATCCTTTGGTAACTTCACGTGAAATCCCAAGGCCAAAGGAAAAGAAATCCCAAATGAACCCTATCTCGGTTCGAACCAAATCTGACACCCTCTCATTAAAACAAGGATATCTCGAGCTAGGAGAAGAATCTGAAACTAAAATTGATACCATTGGAAATCTTACTTCGACACGGTCCATTTAGACTCAAGAACGAACTAATTCAGAGTTGAAACGAAAAAGTTACGAGAATTTGAAGTTGGAAGGCCAAAGTTGAACCTACAAAAAGGTTCTAGAAGACTTGAACCGGTTCAGCACCCTGAACTGGTTCAACATGGATATAACATCCATGTTAGACCCAAATCACATCTTGAACCAGTTCAGCCTCTCTGAACCGGTTCAACCCAACCAGAATTGAACCTAAACAGTAAAAATGCAGAAAAACCAGAAAAATGGGTTTGAAATGCGGTTTTCAAAACCAAGACGACATTTTTCAGAGAAATGCCGTGAAGAAACTCCCCCTGAAAACACATTTTCTATGTGGCAAAGTCAAGACTGGAATTTATTTTTTGAAAGAAAACCCCAAAATGCCCTTAAGCTAGAATATGCAAGAAAAATGTGAAATGAGTCCATAGGAGGCTCATTTCACCAAGGAATGAGTATTTCATGAAAACGATTATGCACGCAGATGTAACCTACCTATTGGGACGTGCTACAATGATCCACGGCTTAAAAATACCACCGATGCAAAATACAACCTGTAATACCCCGAAATTTTAAAGAATGTATTTAAATTAATTTTGTGTTAGGTTAATTAATTTTATTTATTTGTGCATACTACATTATTATATTAGGTTCATTTAATTGTGCATGTAAATTAATTGTGTATGTTAAAATAGTAAATTTGTTCATATAAATATGCATGTATTATTATTAATAATTTTATTTGTTGGTTATGCTTATATTAATCATTATTAGTTAAGTAAAGTATTATATTTGTGTTATATAGTATTATGATGATATAATGTATTATTTTGTAATAATAATAATTATATTAGTTTAATAATAATAATAATAATAATAATAATATAATAATAATAATTATAAAAGTTTTATTAATAATAATATTAGTAATAATAATATTAGTATTAAATCAAGGTAATGATGAAAAATTAAATACTAGGATAGAATTTCATTTACTATGGTAGAATGGTGGATCAAATATCTTGATTAAAGATAGCATTGTCTTAAAGCCATATAGGTAGGAGTATGAGAAATGGGTGAGAAGTTATTATAAATTAGATATTTGTATTATATATATTATATAAGTTTGCATATATATATTAGTAGCCAACTTACTCTAAAGGCAACTTACTTAAGTTAGAAAGCTTAAACATTTTAGTGAGCTATTTTATAAGAGTGAAAGGAAAAGAGAAAGAGAAAGAAGCTTGGACCGGTGTAGGCGATTTTACCCGACTACGCGCAGACCGGCGGATTTATTTTAAATCCAAAAAGGCAAGTTATTATCTACTTTTCCCCTTTGAATTAATAAATTAATTGTTTAGCTTATTTTTATGCATAGAGCCAAGGTTAGGAGGTTAATAAATTATTAATTTTATTTTATTAAATTAATGGAATTTTAATTATATAGGATGGTATATATTTATTTAATGTCCTATGAAATTAATAATGGCTAAAAATAATTAAATAAGACTTTATGGATTTTTCTAGAATTTTCTAGATTTTTCCGGGCATTTTCTGCAATTTCCGGCGACCTTCCGGCGAGTTTTCCGGTCGCCGGCAGTGGGGGAGACAACCGGAGTGATCCGGTGCAACGCGGCGCACCATAGGAGGGTGTACGCGCGTATCCTGGCCATTAATGGAGTCTGATTGATCCGGTGCATCGCGGTCCATGATACCGCGGTACACCCGGATCAGGGAACGTTGGATGGAGGAGATGCAGGTGGATTGATCCGGTGTGGCGCGCATACAGGAAAGCTGATGCAGCCAACCAACCGGAGGACGCCGCGTCAGCAATGCACCCTTAGTGCGCGCGTGGCAGCGCGTGCGCGCGCGTGGGACTCTGCAGACGCGCGTGGGAGCGCGTGCGGGCGCGTGGCTGATGCCAGACGCGCGTGGAGGCGCGTGGGAGAGTGGGGAAAGCTTGGCTGCGCGTGGGGAGGCTCTGGGAGGCGCGTGAGGGCGCGTGTGGGGTCCCTACAGCTGCTGAAAATTACCAGAATACCCCTAGGGCCTGTTTTGTAAATTCCAGAACCTTAAACTTGGATTTTTAGGTACTGTGTTGGTAATTACGGGTTTAACGGGCCACGAAATTATTATTTTAACACCCGTTACTTATTCTTATGACCGATTAATCTTTTCTAAGCATTTATTGGCTCGTTCTCAGTACGGATACTAATGTGGTTTATTTAAACGACATTGTTAAATATAAATAGTGTTATTATCGTATTAAATGGTATCAAAAAAATTACTGTTAAATTAAATAAGGCCATGGTTTTAGTCAGATAAATTATCCATGATATCTTATGGGATGTTTATACTGTTAATCG